CCCGAACTGCGGGGGCAGTCTCCCCCTGCCACCGAGACCCAGGACTCAAGGCCAAGGGAGCAGGCACTCAGATGCATGCTAAATAAGGACCTGATCCTCATCGAGAAGCCCTCCCAAGCCGACCAGAGCCTACCCCTAGTCAGAGTGCTGAAAATAGAAAGGCCAGCTGCAGGAATGGTGGGATTATGGGCCCCCACGATGAAAGGGCTCAGGGGAGCAGGTGATTTCGGGGTTGTACCTTGGCAAGATGGTGGCAGGGGGGATGAGGCTCCTGAGAAGGAGCAAAAAATGGATCCCTCCCCCACTTCCAGCAGACAAGGGCATGGATTCTGTCTTGGGTCGCCCTCCCACTGGGGAAGGCCTCCTTCCCCTCTCGATCAGAATACAGGTGGGGAAGAGCTGTCTAGCCTTGGAGTGCAGTCATATCAACCATCCAACACCTCAAAAATGAACACTGGTTCCTGGTGCTTCCCTGGCCCCCATGTGAGCTCTCCTTCAAGTCTTTTGCTTCCTTCTCCCCTAGTTTCTCAGCTCTAAACCTTTACTCCTCCTCCAACCAAACTAGCTGGGGCTGAAGACAGGTGTTTCCTCTCCCCCAGCCTGACTCCCACAGATGTGTCTGCTGCAGGTCTAGGACTCACCTCTCAGGGCACCCTTTATCAAGCTGCCAGCATCCTCCCACCCCTCCCAGAGCCAGCTCCCCATGCCACCACCCTCAGCCAAGGAGGGTAACCCCACTCACAAGCACTCAAGTCACCGCCTCTTCCTGCCCTCTTCCTCCTAAATCCTCCCCGTCCCGCCTCACCCCTCTGCCCCTTTCTATGGCCTGTCCCAGCCTGGAATGACACTGTTTCCTCCTTTCCTTCCAGGTAAAGAGGGCCCAGAGCTGAGGGCTGCAGGAGGACCTCCAAATGGGAAGAGCTTGGAGAAGAGGCAGCTCTGGGGAGGGGCTTGGGGAGGGAGGGGGAGGTCTTAAGACTCCCTGCCAGACACCCCACCCAGAGGAGGAGGTGGCGCCATAGAACGGGGTTTTATCCCCCCCTCCCCTCCCGCAGTGGCAGTCAGTTGAGTGCCCGCCTGTTTCTTCTTCTATCTGACATTCCCCCTGCCAGGCCAGCAGGCGCCGGCATCATGTCTGCAAGTTATTGAAAGTCCGGCAGGAATGCCCAGAACGGCGGTGCCTCTGGCCAGCAGAGTGCCCACTCCTCTCCCAGGGTGCAGCTGGCCACTCCCATGCCCCCCACACCCAGCATAAAAAGAGCGACGGGTACCCTCAATAAAGGTGGACGAGTATGAGGCGGGCCTGGCCTCCGGGAAGGACGCCAGCGGCCCCCGCCACCCCAAGTTTGAGCCAAGTATGTGAGTGAGTGTGACTGTGTGAGAGAAGGGACAGCAGCAAGGACAACCCCAGCCTTAATTTCTAGCTCTTCAAGCAAACACAGTGCCCCAAGACACTCAGGGACCCTGCCGAGGGTGCCTGAGGCCCACCCCCAACCACTGAACACTCACCAGCCTTGAAATAAAACACTTTTCAACTTCACCCCTTTCTCTTTCCTTCCCTTTGGGACCAGAGATGTGTGGGGCGGTGCCCTCGGAGACACTCGTACAGTTGGTTCTGGACGCTCACACACACTCGAACAACAGCGGTACAAGGGAACTCCCAGCTTTTTCCACAGCTAATTATAGACGTGAAAGTCTGAGGATGTTTTGCAAGTGGCAGAGAGAAACTGCTGAGGTTTCTCTGCAAACCTAAAGAAATTTAATTTGTGCATTCCCATTCCCAACCCCCCTAACTTCTCCTAGCCTCCCTCCACCCCCACCCCACCCCTCAATCCCCGTGTGCCCCTCTCCCAGTCCCCACTACAGCCCCTCCTTCCTGCTGATTTCTTACTTGGCTCTTTTTTATTTTTTCCATTTCTGTTTGGGGCTTTCGAGAAAGGGAACAGACGCGGAAAATATTTTTGCAACAGTTTTCCATTCTGCGTCTCATTCCCAAGCCAAGTAGGGGGGAGGGCAGGAACGGACTGGGAGTGGGGGAATAAATGCTTTTTCCAAGAGCTCAATTAGGGTGTGAAAAAGACTTCATTTCCTCCATTTCCCTGCCCACCCCCATGGCCCAGGAATGACAAGAACTAGGTAAAGAAAAATAAATCACTTGTTTGATTACATGGTTTCTCAGAACTAAGGATAGGAAGGAAATACAGTATTTGACAAATCTGTGCAAATACACACATTAAAAATCCTCCAAACTAGTCGCATGAAAGATGCTAGGGAGAGGAAATTCAGGGAGTTTTAGAAGCCTCTGAGAGGAAAAAAAGAAACAAAGTTTGCAAATCACAAGTCAATTCATTCTCTGCAAGCCTACCTCTCTTTCTAGCAAAGATCCAGTCTTCTCCAAGCGGGACTCTCCCTCCAGGTTTCCATGGACGGGGGGTAGGGTGGGGTGACCAGCCACCGGTCTCCCCAGTGTGGCAACCACGCTAGAGATGCTGGCTTTGCTCTCTAGCCTCTCCAGCTAGGGCCGGGGAGTGGGCTGGGTCTCCTCCCCCGGCCCTTCCAGTGGGAAGGACCTCTCAGGTTCCTGAAAGAAAATGGGTGCAGGGGAGCTGGGCGGGTGTCTCTGATCTTGCGCTCTTCGGAGGGACGGTTCCCTCGGGAAGTTCGTGCCCCCCTCCCAACCCCCAGCTTTGGACGGTCTCAACAGCAGAGCTTTCTTAAGAAAACGCTTGTCATGGCAACAGCTCCAGCCAACTCCGGCCAGACTCTTGCTCACCAGCTCTCCCCGAGCAGTGCCGGAGGAGAGAGGGGAGGAGCGGGAGCAGGAGCGGAGGCGGGACTTGGCGCGCGGCCAGGCCAGACCCTGCTCTTAAGGTGGCGCCGTTCGAGCTGCGGCGGCTTCCTGGTTGGTCTTAAGGGGGAATGGGGAAAGGAAGGGGAGGAATCCTCTCCTCTCTCGGGTCTCCTCCCCGCCCTTGCGCTCACTTGTTGAAAGGAAAGCTGAGTAGGGGTGGAGGTTGGAGGGTGGAGGTGGGGTGTGGATGTGGGTGGCGGTATTAAACCGTTGCTGGGTGGAGGGGGAAAAAAGGAAGCTTCTGCAGGCGGTTGGCTTCCTGCAGCTCCTACCGGCTGCTCAACCTCTTACTCACACTCAGGACTCAGAAACCCAAGGTGCCTGTGGACACTTGGACCCTCTCCCCCTCCTGCCCCGTCTGAATGGGGGGTTCATTGGAGAAGGAGAAGGAATCGCTTTGGATGCACGCACAGACGTACACACCTCCTCACGTTGCACACACAGGCCGCGTTTTGCTCCCACTTGCCCCTGTGCCCACCAGAGGCACATCCACAGTGCATGAGAATAGCTGCCTGCTTTTGAGTCCATAGTGTGGCTATGCACAAAAGCTTTGTATACACAGTATCATTTCTAATCCTCGTGGCAATCTTGAAAGGTACTTATTATTATCCTCATTTCATAGCTGAGGAAATTGAGTGAGTGACTCACCCAAGGTTACACATCTGGTTAATGACAGAGCCAGGATTCCAGGCCAAGTCAGACAGACACTGAAGTCCATGTACTTTCCTGCACTTGTATCATCCTCTGGCACACATTTCCATTTGCACACAGTCAGACATCCGTGCACACTTATACACAGCCTATAAGCTGTCGATCACACCTCCGCACCCACACACCCACCAGCATTGTGCAACAGTGCCACCCACAGATTTTGCATAGAATCTGATGACTTTCAAGTACAAACGTGCACCATCAGCTGGTTTACACAACATGTCTTCATTGACTGATACATTCCCACACCTACCTCAGCACACACACTCACTCAGATTTATATGCTTTTGGACGGCTGGTTAACATACACCTCACAGATTATAGCTGTGAACTATGCTGTGAAGTAGATGACTGGCTACAACTTCCCAACCTTTTTAACAGAGGTTTGGGGAAAAGGCCTCTTTGATCCTAGCATCCTAACCAACAGCTCACGCCACACCTGTCCTCCTTTGCCACCATCCCTGCCCCAGGACGCAGAGCATGTGGGGAAACAGTTGGGAATAAGTCCTAGGGGTCTGGTTTCTCTCTGCCCATTAGCACCCTTTCCAATTTCCTAATGTTTGGGTCCTTTCTTTTCTTTTCTTTTTTATTCTTTTTAAGGTGCACTTTGACCTGAAAAAAACATTTGGGTCCTTTCATTTATCTCTTTATTTTCCTATCCTACCGATTCTCAACAACTCATCCGCGTCCTATTTCTGAGCTAGGGAAAGTTAGACAGACAGAAGTAAGGAAACTTTTTTAGAGTGGTTGGACTGGGCTCAGAACTCAAAATTCCTCAATGTGGTGCTGGAGATTGCCTATCCCCATCTATTTTGGGAACTGAATCCAAAATAAGCCCGTCCCCAGCCCGGCGCAGCTGAAAGAAGGTTGCAGGGGTGGGGGAAGGTTTTAGAGTCACGCTCTGTGGAAACCATCCATTGACTGTGTCCCAAGTAGTTCTTTCTTCCTGGGATTGAAGGTTCACCCTCAAGGCACTTAGAGTACACCAAAGGTGACATTTGTTCTCATTTGCTCCCCGCCCCTCTCCCAACTCCTCTTGTCCCTCCCGCTTCTACCTTTCCCAGCTGGGCAGGCGTTTCAGTGGAAGAACTACTGGCAGGGATAGAGATGGTACTTTGTTAGATTTTGGTAGGTCCTACCAAAATGTCAGCCTTAGGAGCCCAAGTCAATTGCTGGGAAAGACATGGGAAAGGAATCTGCTGAACCTCGCTTTNCTTTTTTAGAGTGGTTGGACTGGGCTCAGAACTCAAAATTCCTCAATGTGGTGCTGGAGATTGCCTATCCCCATCTATTTTGGGAACTGAATCCAAAATAAGCCCGTCCCCAGCCCGGCGCAGCTGAAAGAAGGTTGCAGGGGTGGGGGAAGGTTTTAGAGTCACGCTCTGTGGAAACCATCCATTGACTGTGTCCCAAGTAGTTCTTTCTTCCTGGGATTGAAGGTTCACCCTCAAGGCACTTAGAGTACACCAAAGGTGACATTTGTTCTCATTTGCTCCCCGCCCCTCTCCCAACTCCTCTTGTCCCTCCCGCTTCTACCTTTCCCAGCTGGGCAGGCGTTTCAGTGGAAGAACTACTGGCAGGGATAGAGACGGTACTTTGTTAGATTTTGGTAGGTCCTACCAAAATGTCAGCCTTAGGAGCCCAAGTCAATTGCTGGGAAAGACATGGGAAAGGAATCGGCTGAACCTCGCTTCAGATTTTATGGCTTGTCAGGCTCCCTGCTGGATGGCAACAACTTGACATTTTAACGTCCAATGAGTGCCAGTTGTATCTTTATCTTGAGAAAGCCAGCCTCTGAAATGGCTTCTTAAATGTATTAAAGTATATTTTAAGCTCGCCTGCAATGGCTGTGTGGGGAGGCATTGCCTAACTGTTCAGTAAACTTGTCTTGGGGGAATAACAATTTAGGCCAGTTGTGTGGTCCTATTAAAGGAGAAGGCTACTTTGGCTGCCTGGCTTGTGGGGGCTGGGAATTGATGCCCGTTCCATAGCTGCTTATTATTTGAAGGCAAGATCCTCTTCTCCAACTGCCCGGATTCCAGCGACACAGGCTCTGCAGAGGAGGTGCTCTAGAAAGAGGCTCTGGTGGCTGTCCCACCTCTGGCTGGCTGGGATTCAGGGCATGCCAGGATTATGACTTCTATGGTGGCCACAGGTCACCTCCTCTGAGAGCAGTGCACCCCCTTGACCAGCTGGGGCTGTGGATGAGAGAAGAGAAATTCCCCTCCCACTCCATTCCCAACCCATCCCCCTGTAGATAGGAGGGAGGGTGTGAGAGGTGAGTCAGCGTGACTCCAGGGGGACCGAAGCCTGATCTCTAGCTGAGCCAGCCACTGCCACCTGTGTTTCTGGAAACCCAGAAGCCTTGGTGCCCTGTTTCTTCTGTCAGCAGGTTTGAGGTCTAGAATGGGTTAAAATAAATCTATCCATAAAAATAACCACTAGATGTGGGAAAGTGGATTTGCCCCCCTGGGGCAAGAGGGAGGCACTGCCTTTGGCATCAGAAGTTCACAATTGGGCAAGGCTCCCCTCAGCCTCTGAGTAGTCCTGTTCCCTCTTCTCCCTGTCACCCTCTTGACTTCACAGGCTCCTGTCCTCAGCCAGGCCTCCTGGCCTCCCCAGAGCAGGCCAGTCTCTGCAGTGCTTACATCACTGTGGACCCTGTCCCCACGCCATCTCTCACCTGAAGAAAATGCAATCAGTGCTGTCTCTCCCTCAAGTGTTTAACAGAACATGTTCCTCTGCCTCTGAAGAGTTCCCCAAATCCTCCTCCTTGTGTCTCTGCACTTCCCTTCATTTCAAGCTGCATCACTCCTTGCTGTGGATTTCTGCCATCTTGCTTCGTCTAGAACAGCAACCGTCCTCCCCAAGCCCAAACCCAGCCCTTCGTTCTCTTCACTGTTAAGATGAGAACTGTCATTTTATTAGAGGCCCCACCCCACCGACCCAACCTAGACCATTTGCATCCTTTCCTGGGATTTTCAAATTCAGGACCAAAGAGAGAACAAGGCTTGGTTCCAGCAGTGAGTGCCCTGAGGAGTGACACTCTGGAAGTATCATGTGCTCCCTGCCACGTGGAAGAAGCCTGCCGATAAGAAAGAATAAAGCTCACATGCAGAGAGAGGCAGAGAAGAAAGCCAAAGGCCAAGCGCTAGCAGTACTGGAGTCAGTCGTACCTCGTGTCCCACAGTACCCTGGCCTTTCCTACGACTGAGTTATATGACTCGTTACACATGCACCTACCAGATGAAAATGGGCGTTTTGGTCACTTATACTAAGTAACATAGAAAAGTAATTTAGAAAGTAATATAGAAACCCTTTGAGCTGGTTCTTACTGTTTAGATACACTCATTTCAGTGCACTTTATTCATTCAGTAAGTGTTACTAAATACCTACTATTCAATTCAGTATAGGGTTATTGAACATCTACTGTTTCAACATCCACTGGGCCCAGATGAGGTATATAGAGGCAATAAGTCATAGCATAAATAGCTGCAATAGAAGGTGCTATAGTTGCTCTATTAAACATATTTATTGAGTGCTTATTATGTGCTAGGTATCATGTGTTAGAAGATGAAATATGAAAATACTTCTATGGAAATGCCAGGAAGTGATCGCTTCAGACAGAAACATTAGAAGGCTTTAGGAAGGAGATAGTATTTACAAGTACCTGAAAAACCTTGAAGAGTGCACTTTAAAATGTTTTACATGGGGAGATGGGGGGAGGATGGGATGAGCAAAGGTCTCAATGTAGAGAAAATAGAGAGTAAAGGCTGGGGAGATGGTTTGGGTCCCGACTATGGAGGGCCCCGAGTGGCCTCATGGTGTCCATATTTAGCAAACTGGCTGTGGCAGCTGTGTGTAGGGTAGATTGGAAACCTAGAGATGGTGGCAGGGAGAAACCAGGTAAAGGCTGGGGAGATGGTTTGGGTCCCGACTATGGAGGGCCCCGAGTGGCCTCATGGTGTCCGTATTTAGCAAACTGGCTGTGGCAGCTGTGTGTAGGGTAGATTGGAAACCTAGAGATGGTGGCAGGGAGAAACCAGGCACAGTGTAATGCTGGGCAATTTTATAGAACAGAGTTCTCTATAACATAATCCCTGCCTTCCAGAAGCCTCTGATCTGGTTGTGGAGACACATAAAACAACAGAACAAAGTATATGATGAAGTTTAACACTTGGATCCAGATTTTAAAAA